CTCAACGGTTTAGTAAAATGTGAACTAATTTCACTTATTGTTATAACATTATGTTACAGTTATTAACGATACGGGTAATTGAAATCATTAGGTATTGAAAATTCAGTGTAGGTACTTAGAGAAATCCACATTTAATACAAATGAGGTTTTATAACCTAACAAAATTACAAAACTAATCTTTGTCACTAAATGTACAATTATTATAAACTTTTAGAATAATTGTGAAATTATTGCCTGGTAGCAAATTATGAACAGTCTCTTCTGCTAACTGTCGAAGCTCTGGAGGAGTGGAAGGACGAATTTCTTCGCACATTATTCACTTTTTATTGAAAAAACTAAAATATACTGCACAAATTCGTATTTGGCGCGCTTGTTAAATTGAATTTTTTCAAAATGTAGCGTAGCCAACTTAATTTCTTTATTGAAAAATTGTTGGTGTTGCCAACTTAATTTCTTTATTGAAATATTTATTACATAAAATGTCAGAATTGTTAATTTTTTTAATACAATTAAAATGCTCAACAGAGTAAATAGTATAAAGCATATGTTGCAGAAGGTCTTTCTAGCACTCGTTCATTCGAAACTTGAACTCGTGCTAGAATATAGCGCCTTCTGCAACTTATGCTTTAATATACTATTCCAATTTTCCGTCTTTATATGAAAAAAATTGAAAACTAATACGGTTGATTGACATAAAAAATTTTGTTCTACAAAAAACCTTAATACATTTTTGCTCTAAAATAATTTGGGGAGCCAATAATCGCATGTAATGAATTTTACATTAAAATCCCTATGATGCGTTACGCAAGTCACCACCCTGTATAGTTAACTATGCTCTAAAGTATTTATTGAGACTTTACAATGCTGAAAGGAAAGTTAACGATAACTATGGCACTAAAATTATTGAACTCTATCTTGAGAACACTCGCCTCCGCAGTCGCACAATTCGGTGCAGGGCATGTCGGACTTGGCACAGCTGCATCTTTGTGTGCAACCTTTCTTAAGAGAGGCGGTAAGTAGGCGAATAGATGAATTTACAATTGAATCCATATTCAACAAACAAACTTAATCTACATACATTCGCAGGACATGTATGGGGACATTGCCTCCTGGCGCAACAGCAACTTCCGGATCCATGTGATTGGGGTTGGAGAAACTCGAGTGAAGATCAAGAATGGGAGCCTGTCTGGATTTTAAAACCTCCAGTTCTAGAAGCTTTTGTAATCTTAGTAAAATGTGGATGTAAGAAAGGTTGCACACAAAGATGCAGCTTTGTCAAGTCCGATGTGACCTGCACCGAATTGTGCGACTGCGGAGGCGAGTGTACTTAAGATAGGGTTCAATAATTTTAGTGCCGTAGTTATCGTTAACTTTCCTTTCGGCATTGTAAAGTCTCAATAAATACTTTAGAGCATAGTTAACTATATAATATTCAATAGAGCAGCCAAAAGAGGTCTCCGTCACGATTTTACTGTCCGCACTAGAGGGTCGATCTGAGACAATTTTTTTTGAGGACCTCAAAAAAAGGCAGTGTACAACCTTCCTTTTTTAACAAAAATCGACTGCACCAAAATTTCTCGGGAAAACACTTTTTCTTATTAATTTTGGTGCGTAGAATCCAAAACAATTCGCACTTTTTCGATCAGACTTCTCAATCAAAAGTTATAGACTAGAAACCAATTTCGAAAGAAAATTCAAAGGGCTGTAACTTTTGAACTAGTAGCCCAATCTTAGAATTGATTGAAATTATGGATTCTACAGGCCACATTCTACAAGAAAAATTTTTTCCCGGGTCAATCTGAGACAATTTTTTTTGAGGGCCTCAAAAAAAGGCAGTGTATAACCTTCCTTTTTTACCAAAAATCGACTGCACCAAAATTTTTCGGGAAAACAATTTTTCTTATGAACAAATTTATTGATTGGGATTTGCTTAAGACAATTGTGTTATGTAAATGAATATTGTAGGTGGGCTAGCCTTTATCAAGGTTCTATTTAGTAGCTTTCTATAAAAAAAAAGGTTTCAAGATTTAAGAAAGGAAGAAAATTTCATTTAAAGATATTGTAGAAGGGAAAGTGCCCATAATACCAGCGGCATTGCCGCGCTGAATGGCCAGACTAATTTTTTGAATAAGAAATGTTTTTGAACGGTGCTCTCCTGTGGCATTTTTCAATTTCTTTCCTAAAGTATTTACAAATTGCATAGCTTCCGTACACCACGGTCCAAGGGTTTCAACAGCGAAAGGTAAAAACTGGTAACCTGCATTGATAATTTCCTGATATTTCCTCACCTTGTTAGCAGCAGTTTGTCTCGCAACCTCTCCAGTGGAATGCGAGGAAAGTGACAAGCGAGAAGAGGCAAGTGTATCAGAACAAGTCGCATCCCAAATTAAGTGTAGACCATGAGACCAAGGGATCAGAGTCATACCATCTACCCGTTTTCCGTCTGTTCTTGATAGTCCTAGGGGTTCTAATGTTGAAGGAATGTTTGCTGAGACAAGAGCTTTCTGAATAATGCAATTGAGTTCGCGATGACGTGATAATCTTCCAGCACTTTTCTGACAAGATAGACCATGTGTGCCTTGACGGTTAACAAGCATGCCACACATACAGTGGTGGGATTCACAAATTGTGCAACCTAGACGTAGAGCCAGTGCTATTCGAAAAACATTATCATTCAGTAGTGTTCCCAGATTTTTACAAGGAAGTACATTGAGCCACGCTCCAGAAACTGATGATTGGCAGGCTAGATATCTTGCTGTATCGACACTGGATTCTAATTTCAAATCATCACTCAACCTGCTGATGTTTATAGTATCCCAGTTTTTCTGAACAGC